GCACAAAAGCCTGCAAATGTGCTGGAACAATGAAAAGTGAAATTTGTATGCCCAGCCATATGGAAGCAAGCAGCAAGCATCATGTGCCCCAAATTCGATTTATTGCTATTTTAATCAAATTTATTGTTGATGATCCTTTGATGCCTTGAGCTAAGCGCATATGCAGCGAGTTGTGTTGAATATGGAAATGAGAGTGTTTAAGGTGTGTGTATGTGTTTGTTTTATTGAAAGCTGTAAGTTTGTTTTTGAGCAGAAGTGAAGGAAGAAATTGGCTAGGTAAATGTTTTATTTTTAGGTTTAAATACTATATATATTTAAGCAATGTAGGACAGTTATGATAATATTTGGTAGTCGAAAAAGCCTTTTCGTATTTTGTCAGTAGCTGTCGTTGCAGTCGTTCATATATACGAAGAGTTGAAAAAAAAGATACAGCTTTTCAAAAATGAATGAATGAGAAGCTCGATTATGTACTGAAACGAAATGAAATCGAACAATTTCTGAAACGAATGATAACAGGAGACGAAAAGTGGATAAAATACGACAATAATGTGAGAAAAAGATCAATGTGTCAATAAATGGTCAATGCTCAGATTGACGCCTCGAAAAGTTATGCTGAGTATTTGGTAGGATTTGAAAGGAATCATTCACTAAGAGCTGCTCCAGCCTTGTTGACCGATTAATTCTACATTTACAGACTACCATTTGTTTGGGTCAATGCAGAACTCCCTTAATGCAGTTAAGTTCGTTTCAAAATAAGCCTGTGGAAATTAATTGTCGCTGTTTATCGCCGACAAACCAGAAAAGCTTTACACTGATGAAATAATGTCTCCAGCGGAAAAATGGCCAAAAGTGGTCCACCAAAATGGAACATATTTGATTTATTAAAGTTTGTTTCATGGTAAATATAAACAAAAATAAATTGAAGTTTGGTTAGAAATACGAAAAGACTTTTTTGACTACCCGATATATTTTCTCGTGAGCTTAGAGATAATTTAGAGCCCAGCTGCCTCGTTCTTACCTCTTCGACCAAATAGCGACATTAATGAACTTTTACCTATCTTGTAGTATATTCTCTTTCCATTAACAAAAAGTCGAGTATATACCATACATACACAAGTGTATGCTGTTTTATGTCCACAGTACACAATGCTATGCCGTTAACTCGGTCATTCCTTGTTCTTCACTCTGCGCTGCAGTTGGCTATCTAACAGCAGCGTCGCTGTTGACTTCACCCATGGACAAGACATTTCCGCTGCCGACACGTCATGCTGACGTCATTTCCTTTGCATTCATTATTCGTATCGACTTTCTTTACCCATACATACATACATACCCACCTGCACTGCAAAGTCCCCTTCCCACAACGCTTGCGTTCACGGCATAAGTTTGTTTGTTTGATTTGATTTCATTGAAGTTTCCTTCAATCGCCGCTAAACGACGAAGACAAGACAGTGACAATAAAACGACAACCGTTGATGAGTAGAAGTAAAGGCGCTAACTGTGTTCATTCATTGAGCGCCTGCAGCGCGAGCAATGATGCCTCGGGTGCAATCGCTGCATTTATGTGTAATTTGATTTTGCAAAACTTTCTGTTTGTTAGCACACACACAAATAATATTCAATTTTCAATTTATTTATTTTTGTTTTCTCAGCTTTTGTGGCATTCACTCAAGGCTGTTGGCAAACAGCCGCAGAACCTTCTAACTTCAGTGCCGGGGTGTGAGGTACAGCATGTAGTCGTATGTTCGCAAAGGCACTGGGCCTTGAAAGTGCAAGCCTCGCATAATTTTGTTCGACTTAACTATTTGAAGGAGCTGCTTATAAGTTGCTGGCGGCTTATGTGCACATAAACACTCTCACATGCATGTGCTTTTATATGTTTGTAAATGTGTGTGTATGTACACTCATACCAATAGGCACATTACATCATTCGCCGACTGCACCCCTCTTCTCTCCGTCCTCGCTTCTCTGGGGCAAGCGTTTTTAATAAGATGTTTCCTCACACTCACACGCTTGCATTTTCCTGCGTGTGTATTGGTGTGGCGCTGCAATGCTTCACTGCTGTTCACATTTTCTTCGTATTGCTCTTTCCTTTCTACTTCATCAACTCGTCATCTTCGCTGTCCTTCGAAGTAATTTGATGGCAAATATTGGATTAGTTTTCTCCGTCGCCTTGATCGCAACTGAACGATTTAAGAAGGTTATTTATTTATGGATGATTATCAACGTACACATGCATACTTATGTACATATACCAATATAAATTTGTATGTATGTGTGTTTGTGTTTGATTTTGAGTTTCTTGTTAGCAACTCGCTCATAAATATAACCGCATAACTTAATAAATTAGGAAGGAAGTTTACAAGGCTGATCAGATAACCATCAGAAAATTTTCCATAAAACAAAATAATTGGTAGATGTTAATACAAGTTTGTTTAATATTCGTTAATTTCATCTTTTTCTCTTTGATGAAATCGCATTTGTAATGGCGAAGTTTAATAATTTTTCATGTGCAATTGCTGTTAGCTTTCTGAACTATCTTCGCGTAGTCTCCGTCTGCCTACATTTGATAAGAAGGATATTTTAACATAATTCTTAAGTTGGTGCAAGGTTCATTTATGCAAGTAAAGACCTATAAAACTTCTTATAGTCATCCAGGCAAGAAATTTCTTTGACTTTCTTTCAACAAAATAATAATATTGTTTGATTTCCATCTGCAAAATAATACCAAATAAAAGTTCTTTAAGAAATCATTTGCACTTGTTTCTTCGAACACACAATTTTCACACGATCTTTATATGTTTTTCAGGTGATGATCGAAAAAGTAAGACTTTTGATGACGAGTTTTGTCGTTTTTTAGTATCTCAAATATCAAAATATAGCAAAATATCTTTAGTCGGAATCAATTGAAAGCAATATCTTTTAAAAGCCTTTGGCCACTTTTGTAATCATTTCAATTTCAGAGACGATACATATGAGCATAGAAAACGATAAGGGCAGCTCCAGCTAACAGTGATTTGAGATGACAAGAAAATCCGTTAAATATTTCCATTTCATCACAATTGCTGTTGAACGTTTTCAATACTAATCAATTTCCTCTTGAGTAGAAATTAACTGATAATTGTATAAATTTGAACAAATCACTTCAATTACCACTATATACTTGTACATACATACATATCTCATTAGGAACTATAATTTGATCATTTTTCAATTAACAAAATATATGTGAATATATATTACAGTTAATTTTTGGATGAAGAATATACCAGATTAACAAATATTTCCTATTCTAGTAGTGGACATATTTTTAGAATTGTTACTAAGCCACCATGGCAATCTTCATGTAATCTAAGTAACCTAAGTATTTGATTTAACTGTGGAAAACTAAACCATTTTAAAATGGTATTGAAAAACCAATTCGCCTATACTTCACAACTACTGCAACTATTGACCTAATATTAATGAATCTTGACGAATAGATTGAAGATAGAAAATAATTGAGGCTTTGCAACTATGTGAACTATGGTCGATTGTACCCTCTCCTATATCACATATGGTCCAGTCCCAGGATCTCCCGTCTGTATATCATGAGTGTCTTGCTGACTCTGGACAGTGTTAATACCGTGACTATTCCACCGTACGGTTGAGTGTTAGGGGCCTCAAGCCCTGAAGAGATCTTCGCTTTACAAAAGAAATAACTTAAGCCCCTTTGAACAATCACGCACAAAGTATTCTCAAATTTTCGTCGTGCCATTATGATAAAGTCATCGGCATACCCAAGACACTGAATCCCATTGTTTCTGAGCAACTCAAGGAGCTCAAAATTAGGGTGGCTCCATAGTAGGAGGGTTAGAACTCCACCCTGTGGGTAGCCGCTCGTAGTACCAAGACGAATCTTATTCTCCCCCACAGTGGTTTCACCTATTCTAGTACGCAGTACAGCCGCTATCCATCGTCATACTGAAGTCGCCACATACCTTTCATCCAGTGTCTTGATGACGCTTGCAAGGGACGCTGATAGTAATGAAGTTCAACCGCGAGTTGGTAAGAGCAGGTGCGATTTTTAGCGCCTTCGATCTTATATACTTGTAGTTGTGTACAATCTTTTACATCCATGCTTCAACGGATGGAAGTAAGAATAATTGGCCTGAAAGATTTGGATATCCGCCATCGCAAGGCCAGTTCGAGAAGGAGGCCAGTGCCCACTTGATTGAGTCTGCAGTGACTGAGTTTAGTGAGCTATCTGGTCTATGTGCAACCCTTGGTGGAAGCTGGTCAACGCAAACGGTCTCTGGGAAGTGCGCAAGCAGAAGTGCCATTTATCTTTATATTTATTGAATTGTATTTACTAGATCGATAAATCGATTTATAAACACTCATCGATTATTTTATGCTACTGTTGGATACAATATTCACTTTTTAAATAAAACTTTTAAAATTTTTAATCCCAGAAACATTTGAACCAAAACTTGGCATTTAAGCCAAATCGATCATTTTTTAGCCACAATGGACGCGAAAGCGATAGCATTATGCGATGAAGGCAGAATTTGCCAAAAAATATAATAAATATAGTATTTTAACACAAAAAATGCTTTCAATTACACTTTCAACGCGAACATAAAAATTTTCGCTTAATTGTACATTTATTGAAGTGCTAAATGTAAGGAAATCGCTGCTTGGCAAGCGATAGTGGAAACTGTGCCAACAGCTATTCAGCATGAAAGGTCGCAGTGAAAATCCACGAGCTTGTTTAAAAGTAAGTGGTAATGCTAAACATGCAACAACAAACGCAATGCCATAATAAAATGGAAAAGTTTAAGATGAGACAAATTCAATCAAACAACAAGTGAAAGTTAATTCAATATTGATAGTCGTTTAATTTAATATTAATATTTTTTCTTATATACTAAAATAATATTTTACAATTTATATATTATGCAATAATATTAGAAAATATTTTTAATAATAATTTTTCATTTCATTTATTTTACTTACAGGTCTTTACCCAAATTAAGCAGTCAAGACGAAGAAGGGGGGGCAGGTCATGGGTATGGTGGGGGGCCACAACACTTTGAACCCATTCCTCATGATCATGATTTTTGCGAGAGAGTCGTTATAAATGTAAGTACTCCGTGAGAGAATTATTAAAAAGTAAAAATTTTAGAAATTTATTGAATATACTGCGATATATAGTGTGACAAATTAAAAAATAAAACAAAAAAATATGTTTACTTTGTACGCATTTGACACACTTTCTAATCAACCAAATACTCTTAGGTTTCTCTAATAAATTAACTCACTTCCATTTGCTTTTCACATATTTCGCTTTGCTTTCCATTTTGTCTCTTCTACTCAAACTTTGTTTTGCAGGTAAGCGGGTTAAGGTTCGAAACACAATTACGAACGTTAAATCAATTTCCGGACACACTGCTGGGGGATCCAGCTCGGCGATTACGGTACTTTGACCCGCTTAGAAATGAATATTTTTTTGACCGTAGTCGGCCGAGCTTCGATGCAATTTTATACTATTATCAAAGTGGTAAGTGTTGTAAAACTGGACTATATTTGTTGTAATTCATTGTTGTTGTTGTTTTTTTGTATTTATATAGTATACATATTACAAACTTATTTGTATGTATCTATAGTAGATATATCGTACGTTAAACTTACTAGACAACATGGAGTTTTTATATTTTTATTTTTATATTTCTAACGCTGTATGGTTAGTTATCCGATTATATGCTGTCTATTTTCGGTATAGCTGATAATTCTATCATATTTAATATTCGTCATTTCCGTTGCTAAAAGTCCATAACATTTTCGTCGATTATGTGTATCTTGGTCTCTTACAATTTATATTATTGATAGAGGGCCTTACCTAACAATAGCCCACTAAGTATTTTCAGCTGATAATCTAACGGAGGGGAGGTCTTCTTTTTCCTCTGCTTTTCTCAACGGGTACTACGTCCAGTACTGTCAGAGGTGGAGTGTTTTCATACATTCGGACGACATGGCCTAAGCAGCGTAATCACTGTCTCTTAATTCACTGAACTATGTCAATGTCACGTATACCTCGTACAGGCCATCATTGAATCGACTGCGGTACTCGCCATTGCCTATGCACAAAGGACCACATATCTTCCGCAGAACCTTTCTCTCGAAAACGAATTATCTTCCCTAACAATAGATTGAAGAAGTCACACGATAGGATGTTGCCTTGTCTGAAAACCGGTGTCGACCGACTCAGGAAGGTCCTTCCCGATTTAGTATTAGTTTCACGGGGATAACAATTTCAGACAACGCGGCATAAAGTCAGCTCCTTTTCGTGCGTCAAAAGCAGATTTGAAATCGACACGTATGTGTCGATTCTCTTTTCAAGAGTCATTTCCAAGATTTGGCGAAGATCTGGTCAGTTGTTGATTTTCCAGACCTGAAACCACACTGGTAAGGTTTGTTGACGGTGGATTTTAATCTTTCACACAATACGCTCGATGAAAATTTATACGCGATGTTGACGAGGCTTATCCCATTGTAGTTAGCGCGGACTTAAATCCCAAAAGCCGGTTTGCTTTTGTCCCACCATATTCTACAAAAGAAGCTGATGCATGCTCCTTTTCAGTTCTTCGCCGCCTTGTTTGAATAGCTCGGCCGGCATTTCATCGGCCACCGCCGCTTTGTTGACACGTCTCATCCCCATCGCCATCGATTGAAAATTCAGAAGATTAGTCATAAGGTATTGACGTGATCAACATACACCAGCAACTTACCAGACGGCTCTATTTCATTATACTGTTCCTGAATATAAAAATATTATATTGAAGCCTTGTGATAACTAGAAGAAAACTGTCAATATAACCTGGATTCTTGACCTACTTTGACATGGTTTTACCACGATATTCGACCGAAGACTTTTCATGACATCTTGGTAGTTGGAAAGCATTTTTTACAGGCGTTAACGCGTCGAATGTTTTTCGAATTGATTTCGGAACCAATCATGCATTTTTTTTAAGGCCCAAATGGTCTCTTCCGATATTCCAACGATGACAATAGAATCTCTGACGGTTAATAGTCAATTAACAAGCACCACTTCCTTTATTTTATTGACGTGTTATGCCAACAGTTGATGTTAACGGTCGTCCCGGTCGTGGTTAGTCGTCAAAGCATTCTCGACCCTCTGAAATATTTTTAACAATCAAAACCACTTGTTCGCGACGAACAATTACCACTGAAGGTGGTGCGTTTTGAACATTTCGGCACCAGAAATTTGATTCTGCACACAAAATTTAATGGAACTTCTTTGTTGACTAATTGGACTCGTCATAAAAATCGCCGAATGCACTTAATGTGATTCAGAAAGACAAGCGTATACTAATCAGTAATGATTATTTTGTTATGAATTTGGCACAGATGATACTGACAGTCATACCAACATGGGAAAAAAATATGGGCTTTCGCGCGAAATTTAAATGAAAAAGTCTAAGTCTAAGTACTATTGGTTTGCCCACAATATTTAAAAAATGGGCGTTTCAGAAATATGCAAAAAAGGCGAAAGTAGACGACCCATTAAGAGCTGAATATATGTAAAAACGGCTGAAGAGCAGGTATAGAGAGGCGTCTTAAGTTCCCATTTGTATCACGTCCTAGTCCAACCAGTTCCGCATAATACTTGCAGTGAATATTCAGCACCATTATTGCTTCGGCACACGCAGTATTATCGTTTTCTAAATCCACCAATGCTATACAAACTATTTCTTGGTTGGATAACTGAACCGTAATTGAATACTTTTCGAATTATTAATTCCTAAGAAAATGTATCCTGACTTTCTAAACTCCTGTGACCCTCTTTTATCGATACTATCTCCTGTTTCTCAATGAAGAAAGAAAAATAAAGCACGTCTGACAATTCGGTATACACATATATTAAAGTAAATATTTGTATTATTGGTCTGAGTATAAAATATACAAAGAAATCGTTAGTTTTTGTTTATTCCGTGTTTTATAAAATTCAATATTTTTAAAAATATATATTAACATGTATATTTCTGCTCTTCTCTTCTACCCCAATTCATCGTACAAAACACAATCACGTGCACCAAACACACACATAACTTGCCATTCAACAATCACCCTCAATCACTCAACAATGTCTTGTACTTTAATCATAATATTTTATATACATTAAATGTGTATTTTCATTTGTTTTAACGATCTCGTTCATTTGTATACCTTCGTCATGCTTTTATAATTTCTATAACAATAAATAAACTCCCTCATCTAGGTGGTCGACTGCGGAGACCGGTCAATGTCCCTTTAGACGTATTTAGTGAAGAAATAAAATTTTATGAATTAGGTGATCAAGCAATTAATAAATTCAGGTAAGAAAATTACCAAACTAACAAAGCAAGAAATATTTTTTTTGGTTAAAATCGTTATTATTATTAACAAAAAAAAAGTTATAATAATATGCATAAATAATTGGTTAAAAAGCTGTTGCGTAGATGATTTACTTAATTGGAATGTTAATGCTGAATGAATTTAAATAACAAATATGGTTTTTCATGTAGACTTGTATACACAATAACTGTACAGCGCAAAACACTTTTTGAAAAACAATTTTGTTTATAAAATTTATTTCATTTTTTATAAACTTTTCCTTTACACTGATAAATTTAAATATATACAGCCCAGTTGGAAAAATTATGTAATATATTGCATGAAATCATAGCTTAGCAATTATTGTAGTAATAAAAGTTATAGTAAGCAGTTTATTTTTTAATAATACACATATATCGCAGGCTCCTCACGCCTTCCAAGGCACTCTTTTGAAAGTAGAAGTAGTTCTTTATATATAGTCATATAAATACTTCCATATTAACATAGCTGCAATCTTGAGCAGTAATATATTTAAAATACTCATAAAATTATTCAATAACTTCAAACATCACCGAATTATAAATACCATCTGCACTACGGATCATCTCAGAGTGCACGGAATGAACGTCTCATAAAAGTAATTTAAAACAAATTCACTGGGTATTTGTTATTAAAACAGCGTATTGAAGATCTTTATCGGTGAGAGAAATTCTTACACATTAGGTGAATCTATTGTAATTAGTCAAATTTTCAATTAAATTATCTGTAACTCTTACGAAGAGAAGTAACTCTATCGAGATGCTGTGAACTTTTTTATGGATGGGTCAAGGCTTGTGGAGGAAGGTTAGTAGGGGAAGTGTCAAGAAATATCCATTAATGCCAATTTTATTCTTCCTTTCGGACGGTAAAAGCATTTTTTTAAACCGAAGTTCCCATCATTCAAGCAACAGTTGATGTACTGTTCCGGAACGTATCCTCTTAGGGAAGAGACTATCGACGCGCATAGTAGAATGGCAATACTGAACTTATATTCAAGTACCGCTCGAGGCAGCTATCAACGTCGTCAGGTTACTTCTGGATAAGACTACTTTGGGTTTCAGAACATAACGAAATCGCAAAGCTGATGAGTTGTCAAGAAAACTCATTTTAGCTGAGTAGGAATTAATCGGACCTCCGCTTTCCTCTTACAGATTACCATTAAACGGCTATTAGTCTTAGTCAGTAAATGATCGCTATCTATGCAATCACAAAATCCTTCTGGAGGAAAGTAAATCGCACGGAAATCAGCAAACATTTTGTTTTCAGCAAGAATAGCTAGTGCCAATTGCAAAAGATGTTTAGAAGAACACGAAATAGAATTATCTCAATGCATTTTTCTTGATTACCCCGCATTAGCGACAATAACAGTTAGGTTAGGTTAAATTAGTCTGGTAGGTCAATAAGCAATGCATTGACCAGTTTCGGTCCTTTGCAATACCATATTAAGTTCAGTTTCTAGGTCCAAGACGAGTAGTCATCCTTTAGGATGCCTACGCTTGACGCGAATTTTAACAGAATTTGCCGCCTCACTGTCGATTCCTGCACTCTTCTCGATCGCGCAGTCCTAATCAGTTAGTATTCTCATTATGTTCCTATAGTCTCTTCTATCGAGTGCCAACAGGAATTTTTTGTACTTTCGATCCACCCTTTCGCACATGGCTTTTGCAGTTTTGTACCAGGTATCTTATTCCATCTGGATTTGCAAATTTGGTAGAGTGAGAGAAAGAGATAAGAACAAGAGGTTTCGTCACAATAAAAGTTCATTTCTGTTTCTGATCTAATGTTATATGAAATATAGTGACGTATAATTTGATAATTTCTGAAAAAAGTTAAAATTTAACCTAAAGCACAGTGGTCTGTAAAAAAGTATTGCTTGAAAACACCTCTCGATCTTTTACCAAAATTAATTCTGATCAACGTCAAATGGATTCTCTACTCTATCTCAGCCAACGTAATCTTACAGTAAATAATTAAAGTTTGACTGTCATAGACAACTTTATTTTTGTATTTTACGAGAATAGGGATAGTTGTAAAATTTTCAACGGGTGTACACGGATATAACAATTTTTTTGGTGGGATGTAAGAAATTCTGATATCCTTAGTTATATTTCTTAAGCTATGACAATTTTTTTAACCACAATTTGTCTACTATTTCAATTTTATAGTTGTTGTTGTTGCAAAACGTCGATAAAATGGTAAGGATTAGATAAGCTTTTATTGACGCCATCCAACGGTACACCCAGAAACGTGCTGTTTCGACGGGTTCAAATCAAAGGTAGAAGGGTCTCTGAAGTGAAAGATTAGTAGGGCATGTAAAGAGGTGGCTAGTATCTTGCAGGTACTCATTACACGCCGGACATATGTTTGATATGTCAAGGTCTATTCTGGATAAGTAAGAGTTTAACATGCTATATTATTCAGAACGAAACTGCACAAGAATCACTCTTATTTCTCGTGGCAACTCGAGCTCTTCATCTGCCATCTGCTATCCTCGTTGACTATCGTGAATAAATTATTTATATGACAAGTGCTGTATTCTGTAACAGTGCATGTTTTGAAAAAACCAAATTTGAAAAAAAAAGCACAATTATGAAACAAATTTTTCGAAAGTCTTTGAAGTCATTGAAATCTTAGAAATAAATTTAGTGCGAATCTGATCTAGTTTACAATTTATTATTATATAGACGTGAACATATTCTTCTTTTTGGCTGTACGGGACAAATTTTATAAGATATAATAAATAAAAGACTAGTGTAGTGGTAATGAACTAGAGTCTGAAAAAATAGTCCTTTTCTAAATTCTATATAAAAATTTCAATGAATGTGGTTTCTAAATTTTGGTTTTGGAGATGTCAGAAACGAATAAAGTTACAAAAGTTAGACATAGTTTGATTAACTTCAACCTAACCTCGACTAACCACAATCTCCATTGTGTGATTTCCAACTGGGCATTTTATTTATTTTCGAAACTCATTCAATATTATAACTGACCACAGAACACTCAATACATCTAACTTAACTGTACATATATACGAAATATTGTTTTTAGTGTTATTGCTGTTGTTGTTCCTTAAAATTGCTGTTGTATGAAATTAAAGAAAACAAAACACAAAATTGATTGAATCAAATTGATGTTTTATTGTTTCTAAAAGTTGCTGTTGAACTAAAAATAAATTGCATACGAATATTAACTAAACTAAACGCTATCGGCAAAGTGGAAATCTTTGAATGCTGCTGAACAGAATTGAAAACGCAAAAGAAAACAAAAAAAAATATTACCAAAATCAAGACACTGTTAATCACTTGACCACCAGCTTAAAATTTTGTGCATACGGCATGGGGGAAGTATGTGGCCGGTACCGTGGCACGCACACGCATGCGCCAATGCTGCAAGCTAAATGTAAACAAAAACAAAATTCCATTTAAAAATGAAATGCGAATTCCACCAAAACAAGTGCGACGATCACCAAAAAGCTAACAACAAAACGTCACTCATACACATCCACGAACACTCCACGATACACACACACACACACACACAGCATTTATATGTATCTAGTAGTATGTAGCCGCCAACACTTTGTAGTACAACAGGCTTACATTAAGAGCATAAAGTTTCCGCCCAAAACTTTACTACTACTCCAGCAGTAAGACGGCCGTAAAAACAACGTTGCCGGCACCGACTTGTACAGAAGTGCTCGAATACACGCTCTAAACTATTGAATTCACCCGAGACACAAACCGTCATAGCCAATGAAGCCACTTTTCACCACTGCTGCTGCTGTGTACACCGTTAAGCGCTAAGAAAATTGGTTGGCAACATGGCCGTTGGTTTAATTATTGTGTGCTTCCGTTTCTAATTCAACTTGAATGTTTTATTTTTATTTATATATTGAATATAGTATATATATATATATATATATTTCTTAAGTATTATTTACAACTATTTACGTACACTCGTGCATTCACGAAGATAAATCTTTTTTGAAATCTTCGTTTAGTTTTATTAAAGTAGAATTGTTGTTGATATACGTAACTATTTTTCTTGAACTTTTGAGTAATCTATTCGAAGCTACAGTGATTGAAGTCATCGCCGGTATTAAATGAATTGAATTATTGTGTTTTTCGTAAAAAAAAATATTAATAAATTTTATTGTAAATTGTTTGTTGTTTCTTAAAAAAATTAACATTACACGTTTATATAAGTAAAAATACTAAATAACACACACTTGCTTTTCCAAATATCTTTCAAACCCCCACTTCTACCACAACAAAACTACTCGTGCAACCGCCACAGAGAGGATGAAGGCTTTATTAAAGAAGAGGAAAGACCATTGCCGGAGAATGAGAATCAAAGAAAAGTCTGGTTACTTTTCGAGTACCCGGAGAGTTCGCAAGCCGCCAGAGTTGTAGCCATAATTAGTGTATTTGTTATATTGCTATCAATTGTTATATTTTGTCTAGAAACATTACCCGAATTTAAGCATTACAAGGTGAGTGCAACAATTATGTTAACCAATTTGTAAAACTATTTTGATAAAATTGAGCTTTTTCACAAAGGAAGGTTTTTAAAGCTTTGTTATATTGCAATAAGAAATTAAGGATTTTTGAAAAACGATGAAAACCTATGAATACAAGTGAAAGCTCTAAGATAATTGATTAAATTTCAATACGATAATTATTTAGTTTTTAAATTTTCGGAGCATTTTTGAGAAACTTTTACATTCAGAATGCTTTATTGAAAACCATAACAATAAGCTTTCATTTATATTAAAACTTTCATTATAAAACTAAAATCGTAAAAACAACGTTTTTTTATACAAAGCCTTTAAAAGCTTGGTTGTAAAAAGCGAAAGATTTTATAAAAAACGTGAAAAAACATTGATGAAAGTGAAGGATGTAAAATAAGTTAATAATTTTTTATTTTTTGCATTTGCTAAATATTTTTAGACAACTTAGATACTCCAAATACTTAATTTTAATTTAAAAATTATAAAAAAAAGTTTTTGAATGTTACAAGGTTTTATTATAGAACTAAAATCATGCTTTATTTATACATAAGCTTTTATTACAAAACTGAAGCTTTATACTTTTAAAGCCTTTTTTATATAAAACAAAAGCTTTATTCTCAAATGTGAAAAAGCTCTGATTTGTCATCTTTTTATGTGTTTTTCTTTCTTTTTTCACTTCTCTATTGGTAACATTAACACAAACATTTTACTACATCTGCCTTTGTTTATATTTTCTTTGCTTTTTGCGCGCATTTTTGCAACTTGATGTCAAATTCGAAACGAAAAGCTCCAGGAACGGGTTGGATAATTTTTTTTGGCAAAATACTACTTTTTTATTCATTATACTAACTAGTTGTTCGGTGTTGTATCTCAGTGTGCTCCAACCAAAAGCCTTTTGATAATCTATAAATGTGGTCTACATATAATTATGCCGCCTGTAATGTAATGCCAGCGCAAAAATTTAGAGTGTATACTGGTTTGAACTTTATAAAAGTTAGTAAATTATGAATCAAAATTAGTCTCTGCTTTCAAAAAGCATAGTTATTATTTCAAAAGCTCAGCTAGCAAGTAATTCTCCAGTATAAGCTTATTTCAGTGATAAAAAATTGAAGGTGAAAAGTTTAAACTCATTTCCTTGATTTGAAATCTATCAACTCGAAAGCTTCATAAAGATTCGTAGATGAAAAGCTAAGCCTACAAGCATTTCAGTATTAAAAAATGACAGGTGAAAGCTTAAATGTAATTTTCAGTATTTGGAAGCTCCAAACTTAAAAATTTCGTGAAGATTCGTATGCGAAAAGCTCCACTTACCAGCAAACTATTGTATGTGAACTAACCTCATTTTTTATTATTTTTAATATCCCAAGTTGAAAGATTTATTAAGGTTCTTCGTCGAATCGAACTTTTTATCACTTTCGATACTTCTACTATTTCAAATTCAAAGCTTCATGAAAACTTTTTGCAAAAAACAAAATCAAAATTTTAAGCTATTATTGTTTAAGTTTTAGCCAATAATTTTTGAGTCTTAACTCTCATTAAAATAATATTGAGTGTTTAAATTTGTATCGTTACTTCATCAAGTATCGCTCTATAGCTTCTTTATTGCTCACTGACTGCAAAGCTATCAATTTCTTTATATTTAGCGACTTTCTTTGAGTTTTCTACGCTACTTAAAAGCTCTCAAACCAGTTTACATTCTATTTAATGTTTATAGCTAAAAAAGCTTAGTAACTATTAACGGAATTATAAAATATAAATACTCTTTAAAATTTGATTTCGAAAATTGTACATCTATTAAATATTTAGGTGTAAACCTATGAAAAATAAAAAAAGATTGCCCACAGTGCACTTATCCTTTTGACATTAAGTTGTAAAAAGTAAAATATTTTTGTGTAAAGCTCTTATCATCCTTTTTTTTAACCAATATGGGAAAGTATTAAATAATTTGTTGAAAGCTTTTATTCATAATGTTGAGATGTATATTATTTACGAGTAAAAGCCACTTTAAAAAATGTTCAATATAGTGCCTTATTAAAATACTCACAAATTATAAATACTCCTCAAATAACCTTATGGGAAAACATTGATTTATCAGTCGATACGCCTACCCTTGCTTGAAAAATAATTATTTCTGTAAAGATTATTTTACCTTCACCAAAGTTTTCCCACATACTTTTGAATATTCATAAATTATCACATCCTTATTTATTTCTCTCATCCATTATAAGACTCTGTAAATGCTTTTACGCTAATTAAGTGTTTCTTTATGCTTACTTTTGTTTCTAAAGATAAGTTGTTAACATAATTTTCTTATATCTCAAATTAACAGGTGTTCAATACAACAACAAATGGCACAAAAATCGAGGAAGACGAGGTGCCTGACATCACAGATCCTTTCTTCCTTATAGAAACGTTATGTATTATTTGGTTTACATTTGAACTCACAGTCAGGTAAGTTTTTCTTTTTTAAATTTGTGTACGAAAGAAGTGTTCGAAAGTAAATAGCATTTCAGTCAATATAAAAATAAAAACTTATAGTTTTTATTATAGAAAACAGTTTATTTCCCTTACTTTAAGTAGTACGAATGTTCTGAGAAAAATAGCTTTAGAAATTGCAGATGAAATGTAATTTTTTTTTTATCATAAAATAATTGTTATATTATATGTTGTGTGGAGCTGAACTTCGCTGTGAAGTCAACAAGAAAGCATAAACAACAACCACTAATTCTTCAACACAAAAAGCGTGGAGCTGAACTTCGCTAAGAAGTCAACAAGAAAGCATAGACACAACATTATGTTTGAAACCTAAAAACTATTTAAAAGCATAGTTTTCGAAATGAAATAACAATTGGTTGAATATACAAAAAAAATATTCATTGTTTTTATCACAAGAAATAGTTTTTTTCAAATGTTTTTAGGAAACGCCTTTAGAGTCAATAGTTTTAAAACCCTGCCTTTATTTATAATTATTTTACCATGAAGTATCTGCAATTAAGGTTTAGTTAAAAAATATGAACCAGAACCTCACTGTGAAGTCAGTACAAAAAAAGGCAATAACCACTAACTAATATATCGGTTATATTTCGTAACGTCACTATTTTCAAAATAAATTTTTTAGTGGTAGGTAGTAGAGTTTCTTAAACTTTAAAATTATTACTGCAATTACTTTCAATTATTTATAAAAATATTAT